CATAATTTATTCATTGAAATTAATGAGAAATAATTATAGTAGTTCTATTAAAATTGTTTGCATTTTTTATGAATAAATCAAAGAAATATACTTTGTGTAAAAAATATAAAAACTTTTCTATCTAAACTTTACTTATTTCGATTTATAGTCGATGACGTAATATTTAGGTATTCTGTGTATTCTTATGTATGATTCAATGCAGCGTTGATTCGTTTTATCGTGTTTGTGTATATTCCGGATGATATATTACATTGTTTTTTATATATATTACGATTGACTCGCTTTTCTGGTTATGTTTTGTTGTTGGATGGTAAACGTAGAAAGGAGCCTCAAAGACACCATGTGGTCCGATCTGTTTATTTATGCGCGCTTTATTGTATTTTGTAAGGAAGTATCACGGCCAATAATACATGTTTAATTATAATTTTCAGAGAATTCCTGATACTTCCTCTCCAAGATAAACACAATTTATCTTTCGCGTTAAAAACTATAAAGGCAACACGGGATTTGGTAAAGTTTTTTTTCAGTCATCAGTTAATTCCTTATCTAAATAAAGTTTGATTAACTTTGATAAATTTATTTAATATTAGTATGAAATAAATTATGTTTGAAATAATTATTTTTTTAATTCTAAATTATTTAAAAACCCTAAAATTTCCAGTCATTTTCAATAAAATAATTATTAAAAGCTATAAATGTAATAAAAAATGATTCACTTGATCTAATTTTAAATAGATGACTTTAGTTTCCTGAAAAAAAATAAACTTTGAATTTGTAACAAATGTAAATGCATGAGTATTTTGTTCCAAGAATATTTAATAGTTTTTCATCAAATACACAGAAAAAGTCATAAAAAATAGATTATTTTACTAAAATCTTGTTTCAATATGTCATAGAAAATTTCTTATTTTATTAATTATTTTTATTACATGAAATATTGAAAGTAAAATTTTGGTTTGATTGTTTCATCATTTGAATATTTGTGAATTATGTTTGTTTTAGATATTTCCATTACAAAGAAATTTTTAAAATCATCGTTCTAAATGTATATTTTACTATAGTTGATAAAAACTTGATAAAAAAATAATTGTAAATATTCAATTTGATTTATTTTTTCTTCATGTTTTCAATATTAGTTCAAAATGTGTATTTACCATTTTATTATAGAAAGTTACCAATCTTTCCTTCGACTTCCTTCTTAGATAAACTTGATTCAAACTAATTGAACATTCATCAAGACTGATTTATACAAATGTCATAGTTATAGTATTTTGGTGAATTATATTTTTATAGTATATTTAGACTTTTTCTCTAGATTTTTTTTGGCATTCCTTGTACTATAAGTCAAGATTTGCCAAATGTTGTTTTCTCTACATCTGGAGACAGATAGGTTAAAAAAAATCACAAAATATTATGAATAAAAATTTGAACGTTTATACAAATACTAGTTCTATATATATTGTAATCAAACATTTAGCTTAATGTTATGTAACATAAGATAATATATTACTAAAATAAAGATGGACAAACAAAAATCGATCATTTCTTGTATTTCTTTTTTAAATGCTAATAAGTGGTTAAAATTTCTAAAAAAAAATCACCAAATGACTTTTTCCTAATTACAAAACGGAAGAAATAACAGAGTTGAAAGAAAATAATTGAATATTTACAAAATCTACTATTTTTTTTAGTTTAAAGATCTGAAATTAAAAAAAAATCCTAAAATTAAAAAAAAAGATTAGAAACCACTGATCTAAATGTTTGTTTATTCCAGAAACTTTCTTATTGAAAATTGATGAACATACATATAACTGATATTTTTCTGAATCTGAAGAAATAAATAGTTTTAAAACTTATAAATGTTGGTTCAAAATGTATACGTTTCAATTTGAACAACATTTTTATATTTACTTGTACTTCTTATTTACGTAAACATTCGTGCAGATACAACAAAATGTTTGGTCAAAATGTTGATTCGCTAGATTTAACGATTCGTAAAATCTCTTTGAATGTTTGCTAACAAAAATTCATGCAGCGATATTTATTTCTGATCTAAAGATAGACGAGATCTGCAATAAAATAATAGTGGCAAATAAATGGTTTAAATCGAAGAAAGCCGAGGTTTATATAGAGGTGTGTGTGTGTGCGGTGAGGATTTTTCCATAAACACGGTGAGCTCTGCAGGCATTCATCAAGACGATGGATTGAAGTGACAGTCATTATGTTATTACAGGCACGTTACATTTGATGTATGGACCGCGTTATGTGTGTTCCTAGAAGAAGATACCAAAGGCAAAGAGAAGAAAATATATATATATAAAAAAAAGTCTTCTCGTGTATGCGTGTGTATGTGTTTGGAGTGCGCGCGGAGGCAGGAGAGAGGTTTTTACGGGTTCGTTTCAAATGTGCCCAGAATCAACAAACACGGTTCACTTTAAACACAAATTATCCTGCTACTGTGTTACCACATGTACTTTAATTTCCCCTTTGATCATTCCCTGCCCCTCCTCCTCCTTGGAGGAGGAGGCTGGAGCATCGTGCATGTTTCCACGGCCCACCAATACATCTGAAATGTTTATTGATTATCAAACAAGGAAAAAGAAGAAGTTAAAAAAAGAGGAATGGACTTGACACACAACAACAGCAACAACAACCACCGCCATTCAGAAGGTGGCCGTTGCTTTCAACGGCTGATGTTTTCCACAAGGCAAATGCCCAAAAGAGGCGCGCCATAAAACGTAGCCCCGATGTCGCGGAAGTTAATGCTGTTAGTATTTATCTTTCGGGTTTATTAGGCGTTAAGAAGCTGGGCACCGTGACGGCCGTGGTAGTAAATTAAAGGAGAGTTTTCTTGGGTTTTCGGATTCGAGGGAGGATTCATCATTTACACCTCGTAACTTCCAGACTAACTGAATTGTAGACGATGCCTGATGGCCAAAATGGATGGATGGATGGATGGAACGTGGAGACCAAGCACAAGTGTATTTGCATTTTGCAACCAAATAAACAGTTTCGCGTTTCCGGCGGCGATTTTACGAGGTGGCGGCGCAGACCACACACGCACTGCGCGCAGAGCGCCGCGACGCCCAACAAAAATAGAAGGCGGCAATAAAGAGATACATAAATAAGTAAATAGTAATGTTCTAGAAATTCGAGTGTTTATTTGTGATTCTGTGTGAACATAAAATAAACATCGGCGGCACCCATCCAACCCTAACGTTCCTACACTTCATCTCTTGATACTGCTGCTTCTGCTGCTGCAATATTCAGAAGATACCAAAACCACATCCAACATAATCGAATCAAATAAAGTAGACCTACAATCTTCAAACGATTTGATGTACGAACAACTTCGAACTTAAACAAAAAATGAGGCAAGATTTGAAAGACGAAAAAATATCTTTTTTCTTAACTTTGCAACATTACAACAGGTTTGTTAAGTTAACAAAATGACAAGACAAAAATTTCTCTCCAAAGAAAAAATCCGATTGGAGCTACTTGAAGGGGCCCCGCATCACAGTAATACTCATTGTTTTTAGATTTGGTACAGGTTTTTTTTAATAAAGAAATTTATGACTTTTGATTTTTATAATTGGATTTTGGATTTTGTTTTAAGTAAATATTTAAAATCTATATTTAAATATGTCAATTCTAACTGTTAATTAATTTTGAGGAGCCCGAAAAAAAAATCAATCAGACCTCGCACTTATTGGATTCAATTTATTTATCAGTATTGACCAAGATTCCTATGTTTGAAAACAATAAAATTTGGACAAACTAGGACGATGAGAATTCTAAGAAAGGTAATATATATTTTATAATAATAAAGAAATATATTTTTTTTTAAATTCGGACTATTATCAAAATTCGTTTCCTCGAACGTATTGAGTTCGAAGTTCAAAAATTGAACAAAAATTCAAATATTATAATTGATAATAATGTATTCATTAAATAAGTAATTAATTTGTTTTGAAATATTCAGACTCACTGTTTACATTCGATTATAGTTATAGTTACATCATGAAATATTTTTTATTTGTCGATCTGTTTATCAATCAAATATTATGATTATGAGCATACAAATTATTAAATTTAGCTGTTTTATTTATATACAAAAATCGTTTTTTATCAGACCAAATACATTTATGAACGTATTGTTACATATCTTGTTAACTTGTCAAATGATTATGATAACAGACTGAAACTTGTTGAAAATTGTTCTTTGTCCTTTATGTAAAAATGCGTCTATACAAATAAATTTAAAAAATTGGTTTTATATTCTTTATCTGTTAAAAAAAATATTTCTCACACTTTGAGAATCTAATCAGAAGCATTCAAATATTTTCAAAGAACCTTATCTGTTTATGTCTGACTAGAAGAATAGAGCTAATTATGTCGTAATTTTTATGTTATTTTTGTATTGTTTTAGCTTGCAGAATTTAAATCGACTTCATAGCTTTAAAATATTATGACATGTTTAAGTGAAATCAGAAAAATTCAGCTATTTTTATGCAACTTGTTACACGTTTACTGACAATGTTTACATTTTTACATCACTTTCAAAGATGTATATAATTATTAATTACGTGACTTCAATTTCTTGTAGAAATACAGGTAACAATTTTGTAATCTCGATATGCAAGTTTGAGATTGTTCCTATTTAATGACTAGTTGCCTTTTTTAAATTATAAGTAAAGAGTTCTAATTTCATTGCAGAAAAAGACTCATGGCAGACAATTGTAAATAATAAATGTTATGTTAAGAAATTGTTATATTTATCTTATAATTATTATAAATTAGATTTTCTTCTCTTTTGGCCCTATTTCTAACGGCCCCCAGAAATTTTGTTGGTTTTTGGGAATCGAAACAACGATCTTCGTATCAGATTAAATTCGAATTGTTGTTACTGGTTTCTTTATAATTGTAGTTATTGTGAAATAGTGGCAACATCTAATAATACTCTGATTCCAAATTGTATAGCATTTATTCCCAAATAGTTAAAATGTATCAATAATTCTAATCTAAAGCATAGAATATAAATGCAGGTAATACAAATAGTCTGGAATAACATATATCACAAATCTGCAGTACAGATTATAATGTTATCAAGCCTGCGGATTCCTTTTCATCAGGTCGATATCAGCATCCATCATGTCCTTCACCAGCTCCGGAAACGTGACCTTCGGCTGCCAATTGAACTGTTTCTTCGCCTTCGAAGCATCTCCCAAGAGCAATTCCTGCAAACCAATGAAATAACAATACCTCAAAGGCAGAAGAGACATCAGCATCAATGACTTACAACTTCAGTAGGTCGGAAATAGCGTTCGTTGACTTTCACTCTAACGATGCCGGTGTCCTTTTCCTTTCCCACTTCGAAAGTGTCTTTGCCCTCCCAAACAATCTCAATCCCTACATGTTTAAATGACATTTCTACGAACTCTCGCACGCTATGCATCTCGCCGGAAGCAATAACGAAATCTTCGGGTTGGTCTTGTTGAAGCATCAACCACATCGCCTGAAAATAATATCCTTTGAATACATCAAAATCAATTAAAATAACGATAAATCATACTTCGACGTAGTCTTTGGCGTGACCCCAGTCTCGACGAGAATCAAGATTACCCAATTCTAAGACTTCGGCTTGTCCTAAATGAATCTTTGCGACTCCTCTTGTTATCTTTCTTGTGACAAAGGTTTCTCCTCGTCTGGGACTCTCGTGATTGAACAGAATCCCATTGCACGCAAACATGTTGTAAGCCTCGCGGTAATTAACGACGATCCAATAAGCGTACAATTTGGCGCACGCTGAAACATTTCGATGTAATCGAATCACAACAATACCGCAACAAGTATACCGTATGGTGATCTCGGATAGAACGGCGTTTTCTCGGTTTGCGGAATTTCCGCAACTTTTCCGTATAGCTCGGACGTTGAAGCCTGATAGAATTTGACTTCGTTCTGCAAGTTGCAAGTGCGTATGGCGTCCAAAAGTCTTAAAGTGCCGACGCCGTCCACTTCAGCAGTGTATTCGCTCAAATCGAAGGATACTTTTACGTGACTTTGGGCGGCCAAATTGTAAATTTCACTTGGCTTTATGGTTGAAATCAGCTTCACCAAGCAGCTGGAGTCAGTCATATCACCATAGTGCAGCTTCATTCTGCCACCTTGATGACCGAATTTGTCTTCGTACAAATGATTTATGCGAGATGTATTGAAAGTCGAAGCCCTACGGATAATTCCATGAACTGCGTATCCCTTGGCCAACAAAAATTCTGCCAAATAAGAACCATCCTATAAACAAACATATTTTAGACTTCATCATTAAAGACTGTTATTATAATTACTCATATATTAACTATACTAAAGTCATAAATAATGTTAGATCAGTTATAAAACCTTGAATAAGATTCAATATACGCGATTATCCTTAAAAACCTTATTATTCTTATTTCTAATAGAGAAAACAAATGTGGTACTAATGTTATTCGTACCTTTGCGCCATAAAGCTGTAACTTAAGTTGCATACGTCACAAATATAAACAAAATAATGTGTACGTATTCACCTAACACTTGTACGAGAATAAACCAATTCCCAAGGATTTACAAACTATGTACAATAGTTGGAGATGTTTAACGGAATAGAAATAATGCTTATTTAATGGTTACTAACCTGTCCAGTAATACCGGTAATCAGGGCAACTTTCCTCGGTTTCTCTGCTTCAGCCATATCACCCAACGTAAGCTTATCAACTGATACTAATTTAACAGTGCCACAGTAGTTGTTAACATTCAAAAAAGTGGTAATTTATTTTAAAATATCTAAAAAAATAAATAATATTGAAGTGGGCGGTGTAATCACTTTTTGCTCCGTTTTGCCCAGTTGATACGTATTCAACTTCACACCATTTCACATGAAAGTTCGTAATACATTGCGTTCCAATTGTGCATGACAACCGTTTCGTGAATGTTATTGTTGATAATGCAAAATATGCAGGTATAAATAGTTCTTGTACATTTTGCAGATAGTAATATTCTAGAATGCGGTCTCTAATCGTATTTATCGGCGTATTCGTGCTGTTTGCACAAGCCCAGGTAAATATACCAAATATATATATATATATTGCAGACAGTCAATAACATTCTCCAATTTCAGGCTCAATCATATGAGAACAACAGATGCCGATGTGTTTGTCCAAGTATTTCAACTGTCACCAACAGTTCTGAAAGCAGCCACAAATCAAGGATCATCCGTATTGCAAATGTTTTACCAAACAAATGGTTAGTCCAATAGAATATATGTATATTCAGATAATTTAATTTTGTTTTTTTTTTGACAGCAATTGTGAAGGTGTTATTTTACCAATTTATGAAGAGCAGTTGCAAAACAAGTCTCAGGAGTTTTGCCCACGCTGTGAATGCAATTTTGAATACAGGAACATAAACATAATTAAATATGTTGTGATTATTGTTATTTGGGTCATATCAACTTTGGTGATATATATGGCGTTTTTGATCATACTGGATCCCTTGTTGAATAAGCGCAATAAGGGCAGCTACCAGGAACATACCAATGAAGAGGATGAAACTGCTGCTGGTGTGGGTGGACCAATGGCACATAACATGAGTGTTAGGGGCAATGTATTAAACAGAGTTGGCCATCAGCAGGATAAGTGGAAGAGACAGGTTAAGGAGCAAAGAAGAAACATTTATGATAGACATACTATGTTGAACTAGATTTTATATTGTGATATATTATGTATTAAAACTATATTCCTTTAACAAAAGTAATAAATATTTATAGGATTTACCTATTGTGTAATCAAGTAAACTGTCCTAGCTTTTTTTTTGTAAAAACAAAAAATTGTTTGTCAAATACATCTACACTGTGTCAAGAAAAGATCTAACGTTTTGCATACCAATTCCAAATTAAAGAAACGATTTTCATCCCAACACGAACCATGATTTGTTAAATCTATATATTAAATAGATAACTCTACATAAGTTTTTAGTATATATTGAAGATTTAGAAAGGTAATTTTATCCCATTTAAATAGCGATATTTTTATATAAATTTCACAAAACTATTACATTTTCATTTATTTAAATTGGGCGCTTGAATTTATCAGTCCAATTTGTTGTATAATATAATTTAAGATTTCCATTTTAGTTCTAATCGCCAAATAATAGAGGGTGTCAGTGCATTTCCGGTTTCGAACTTCTGACAGCATCATTGTAAATCGTTTGAACTCAATTAGAGGATACATTATCAATTTTTGGTCATATCAAAATGGCTAAAAAACAGCAGGATGCGCTGTCCTTCTTTAAAGATTTCATGGCTGGAGGTGTTTCTGCTGCCATTGCGAAGACAGCCGTTGCGCCAATTGAAAGAGTCAAATTGTTGCTTCAAGTCCAGCACGCCTCAAAACAAATTTCAAAGGAACAGCAATATAAAGGTCAGTTCTGTTGTCTTAGTATAGATTTATGAGATGTATATCATCCTGGAATCAATCATTATTTGTGGTTCTTTTAATTTCTTTAAAAGTAGTATTTAATAACTATTACGTGTTTCAGGTATGATTGATTGCTTCGTGAGAATTCCCAAAGAGCAAGGTTTTCTGTCTTATTGGCGTGGTAATTTTGCCAACGTCATCAGGTACTTCCCGACGCAAGCTTTAAACTTCGCGTTCAAAGATGTATATAAACAGATATTCATGGCGGGAATCAACAAAGATACGCAGTTCTGGAGATGGTTTGGTGCTAACTTGGCATCCGGTGGAGCGGCTGGTGCTACATCTATGTGTTTTGTGTATCCTTTGGATTACGGCAGAACCAGATTGGGAGCGGACGTTGGCCGCGGTACCGCAGAACGTCAATACACAGGCCTTCTGGACTGTATCCAGAAAACATTAAAAACTGATGGTATTGTTGGTCTATATCGTGGTTTTATTGTATCCGTCCAGGGAATCATTATCTACAGAGCAGCGTATTTTGGATGTTTCGACACAATTAAAGGTTCATTGCCGGATCCCGAAAATACGCCGTTCATCATCGCCTTCATCATAGCTCAAGTATATTAGAAACTAAGCCTGTGTTGTTCAAATTTCTTATTCGATTATATTTTAGGCTGTCACAACTTTCTCTGGATTGTGTTCGTATCCTCTGGACACCGTGAGAAGACGCATTATGATGCAGTCTGGTATACCGAAGAAAGATTGGATGTATAGCGGAACTTTAGATTGTTGGCGCAAAATACTGGCGCAGGAAGGTCTGAAGGCTTTCTATAAAGGGGCCTTATCAAACATTTTCCGTGGTACAGGAGCAGCACTTGTATTAGTATTTTACGACAAGATTAAGACATTAATTTAAAAGTTTATATAAACGCATTACTATTTATTCTGTGTTTTAATATTAAACTAGACTAGAACAGTATAAAACTTGATTCAAAACCGAATGTAGTATTGTTAGTATATTAGGGGGTAAACTTTAAACAGTCAGCCCAGTTTTATTTTCTTTATATTTTTTTTTCCTTTCTTTATAGTTCAATATGTAAAATACGTCTTTTTTTGGGAGCATTCAGAAAATAAAGTTATAATTTAGTTCTTTATACATGTAATTGTTTTTTCCAATAGTTTAAATATGTTGTCTATTAAAAACAAATAAAAATATACTACAAATATTAATAATGTCACCCTATATACTTTACACATAACTAAAAACCTTTTTTTTTTGTACCAAATCATATATTTGACTATACAAAATGAACCTAATTCTCTTCTGTTTCATCTTCTTTTTTTAGTACTCTGGATCAACTATTTTTAACATTTAATGGAATCTATATGATTTTGCCTTTTCATTAAAAATTAATAATAAACTTAGATTTTTTCAAAATAATTTGCAACCTGGTCAATACTACAAGTAAACCCACAATAGGTTTCCAATAATGAACAACAAAGTGCGATAATTAAAAGTATGGCACATAGTCGATTAATCCAATAAACATTCATCATTGATTGATGTGTGCAGTATGCTTCAATTGATATCCTTTTTTTCACATATTAATAACTGAATACACGTACAAAACAAGACAATTTAGGTTTTGTACTATTCCCCAAACGTTGCAAATATATTTCAAACGGGTTTCTTTTTTTCCTCGTAACAAGTAGAAAAAGTAAAAATCACAGCAAAATAAATAAAACTATCACAATCACAATAATAACAGATAAAATAATAATTGCCGTCCACTGTCGTCCTTCTGAAACAAAACAAAGAAAATCTTAAATAAAATTTATTTTTGAAGTTGTGCAGAAAGTTGTAACATTTTCTAACACAAGTCAACCAATCATAATTTAGTTTAGACAAAAAGTTGCTACAGTTGATATTCATGCACATTCAAAAAACGTAGATGAAAATGTTTAAAATTGTTAGTTAATGAATGAATAAGTAATAATTAGATGGAAATAAATACCATTTGACATGTGGAGAACTTTTGCAACTTTTTTCATGGTTGCATCCAATTTGCTGTCTGTATTTTCTAGTTCTGTTCCAAATTCATCCAACATACTAAAACATTAATTTATAATTAGTAAATATTTACGTAAGAAATTTAGTGAAATTTGTTTACCCAGCCTGTTCATCAATCTCCACAGTTATGTGCCTGGAAACTGTTTTTAATGAACCTAGAGAATCACTAATTGCTTCTAGTTGTTCATCTTGGTTCCTTGTCATGTATTGTTGTTGTACTAAGGTGTCACTGACAAACCTATTTGGACTATCCAGTTCGTTTTCGAGTTTTGAGTATTTGGTAGTCCCATGGCTACCAGTGCTCAATACTCTTACTGGACTTGGATCCAGCAGAGGCTAAAACAAGTTATTTAAAAAACATCTCAAAATAACATATATTTATTAGAAATACCTGTCTTGCAGTGCGATCGCGATCTCTACTCCTATTCATATTTATTTTATCTTTCATAGACTGAAACCAATAGCCTTATTTATTGTACAGTTAATAGCAATTTAGCATATACCTTGACTTCTTCTCGAGTGGAATCTATAAAGTTCTTTCTTGTTGTAAGCTCTTTGTTATCCAACTTAAACTTGGATGGGTTCTTTTCTACAATATGTGTGAAATGAGTTAAGGTTTATAAACAATTATAGTTTTGTAGTAATTAATAAGTCTAGTCATGGAAAGGATATCAATTGTATCTTCTAGGTCCTCCAAATCCCATTCTATGCTTCTCAAGGAATTCTTTAACTCTGTGTTGGTCCATTCCACCTCATTTTTTGTTATGCATACAGTGTCATCCTGCAGCTCAATCCATCTGAGGTACAAGCCCCGAGTTTTGTTCAGTGCTTTAAATACTTCACTGCAAAATCAAGCACTGGGTAAATAATTTCAGGATGTGTGTGTGTGTGTGATTTGATTACAAAGTAGCAGTATTGATTTTCAAAGACTGGCTGAGCATATAAAAATAAATAAAATACAACATTCAGTAGGAGGATGCAACCAAAGCTGATTTGTAAACAGTAGGCAAAATTATAGAATGAAAAACATGTTATCTATGATCTAGCATATCATCTATTTATCTAGGTGCGTGTAGTGTATAGAGATAGAGCACCTCAATCAAATGAAACGCTAATGGCTTTGAAGGCTAAAAATAAAACTCCATTCATAAAATTAGCTGCAGGCGAAACGTAAACAAAGGAAACGGAAATTATAATGAAAAAAAAAGAGAATAGTAACGATTGCAATAAGTATTTATTCTAGAAATGTAAATAAATAATTAAACGAACAAACAAAACAAACAAAATAACATCATGCCAAACAGTAAAATAATAATGGTAAGACAACGAACGAAACAATAATCGGCGTAAACACGAAAACAGAAGCTGCAAAACAGAATTGTAACACGTTCAGTTATTGCTGAGAGCTTTTCTCTGGTTCTTGCTTACTCTTTGACAACGAAAAACGGATCTTCCAACGTCATATCAATTCGTGTGATTGCTAGGCACTTGCTAGGCTATTGCAAACCGAGCGATTTTTGCAAACACCGCGCTGTGGCGCATGTGGGATGCCAGGATCCCTTATCTCTCACGTAGCTCTAAATTTACACGCACACAGGACACACAAATCAAATTAATTACCAAACAAGTCTTTCTCCTCCGATGATTAAGGGTGGACGTGTAAACAGGGGGGAAAAGCAGAAAACAATGCCTAACAACCTATACCTATATAGTAGACATACATGTATACGAGTATACACACACATATACTTATATATATACGCCTATTGACAAACCCTGACAAACTCACCTGTGTGCACTTGAACTGTCTTGAACCCCTAGCGAATACTTGCGGAACGAAGAGAATCCGGAATGCTACGAACTTACTAAGCTACATCCAAGATCACTAATTGATATATTAATCACTGTAGTATGACCAAATCATGCATGTGCACATATACTAGCACAGAAAAAAAAATCAATAATATTTACATAGCGAACAACAGATTTTGAATTACCCGCCAAATCAATTACATCTTAAATAAGCTTTGAACAAAATAGTAAAACAAAGAGTAAAATAGATGTTAATTGGAAGCAAGCCTTTGCCTAGGAATTAAATACATCATACATTTAAATATACAAACAGCAATGCCACCTAGTACTAAATAGGGACATTATTTATTAGTCAATAAACGTAAATTAATTTAATAGAATTGTTTACATTAAAATAGAAATTACTTTATTTTTTTCTTAGTTGTAAATGCCATAACTTGTAATAAATACTCATTTCAATTATAAAGTCCTGACATCTATCCACATTTTTGTACAACAAGTAATAAATTAATAAAAATTACAAAACTATATTTTCTGAAGGAATAAATAATTTGTATATGTAGTTTAATATAAGAATTATATAAAATATTCAATAAATTAGATTTTTACTCTTTGTATCATATATATTGGCAACAATGTAATATATTATATTTACTTAAACATTAAGTTAAAACTAATATGTTGTTAAAATTTATTCAATTATAGTACGTTTGTTTAATTATTTATTATAAATTATTGTAATTAACATTGTTTAATCCATATTTTTAAGTATTTGTTGGAAAAGGCAACACTGTAGAATGATCTTATTCGTTATGCGCAGCACTGGGGGAGCTAGTAGTCATGTTTCCGCCTAACATCATTCCTCTTTGCAAATGGCCTTTTCCGGATCACGCTGCTATTAGGTAGACGTGATCGTTTTTAGTGAAATAAGGTGAGTCTTTTAGAGCATTACTAATCTTATCTTTGCATTATAGAAACAGAAATTCTTGCAAAAACTGATTTACAAAGCAACGACGAGTTTATTTACGTATTTTTCACGAAATTCGTTTTTTGTTGACACGTGTTTTAGTTGAACAACATATCAATAGTGTGGTGGACGCTTTCACATTGCCCAGCACTCTTCGATCTCTAAGTTAAAAGTTGGTGTTTGCAAGAAAAGTTTTTATAATTGTTTTTCATTCATTTTAACATGATGATAATTTATATTTCTGACACCTCTTGGCAGAATACATTTATTGTTGATACTTACCTAGTCTGAAGTTACAACTAATGCATGCTGCATTTACATGTTTGATTATTTTGGAATTTGATATATGTATTCTTATTTTTCTGTTGTAGAGTTTATAAACATGGCGGATTTCGAAGAAAGTTATGAAGATGCTCCCATGACTGGAGCCCCAGCCATCGCTGAAACTCCAGAAATCAAACTCTTCGGCAGGTGGAGCTGCGATGATGTCCAAGTCAACGACATGTCCCTGCAAGTAAGTTTAATAATTATTCATCAAACTCTCATTATTCTCATATTAAAATGATGATTGTGTATATTAATATTTCTGACACCTCTTCAGAAAAAATCATTTGTTGAAAAACTGTACATCAAATTGCTGATATTGCCCTGACTTAAACAATAAGTTTGGTTATGTTTGGAACAATTTATTTATTGAATGTTTGCTTTTCTCTTAGGATTACATTGCAGTCAAAGAGAAGAATGCCAAATATTTGCCGCATTCTGCTGGAAGGTATGCTGCCAAGAGATTCAGGAAGGCCCAGTGCCCCATTGTTGAACGTTTGACCAACTCATTGATGATGCACGGACGTAACAATGGCAAGAAACTGATGGCCATGAGGATTGTCAAGCACGCCTTTGAAATCATCCACCTTCTGACTGGAGAAAACCCACTGCAGGTGAGATTGCTTTTTCAAACTTACTTTTTATTTACTTTCAAATGATGATTAGGAAAATACATTTCTGACACCTCTTCTGAACAAATACCTTGTTGAGAAACTTCCATTAAAATACTGATTGGCTCTTGCAGCTAGTTGATTCTTAGACTTATGAGAACACATTAACTCATTATATTGTTATAGATCTTGGTTACAGCCATCATCAACTCTGGTCCACGTGAAGACTCTACCCGTATTGGTAGGGCTGGTACCGTGAGGAGGCAGGCTGTTGATGTGTCCCCATTGAGGAGGGTCAACCAAGCCATCTGGTTGCTCTGCACTGGAGCCCGTGAAGCCGCTTTCAGGAACATCAAGACTATTGCCGAGTGCTTAGCTGATGAACTTATCAATGCCGCTAAGGTAATTTATTTCTATATTTATTAACAACATACTTGTCCATTCTAATGCTGTCCAACGTATAACCAAATTGGGCCGTTTCGCTTTCGGACGATAGTAAATGCAAAGTATTCATACTTATTGAATTATCAATAGATAATTTGATTTGGAGACATTGCTACAACTTTACAATAACTTAAATTATTGTTGAATCAAATAAGTTATACCTATACAATTATCTAATATATTTTCTTTTGTCTATAGGGATCTTCCAACTCTTACGCCATCAAGAAGAAGGATGAACTCGAACGTGTTGCCAAATCCAACCGTTAATGTCACATCATTCTGTCCTTTACGTATTGCTATTTTATGTATTGGAATATTAATATTAAATTTATAAAAAAAACAACAACCAATAAATAGCGCAAAATAATTGTACCTTTATCCTTTTTTATATATAATTTTAATACAACAAATACAAAGACCGAATAAGGTAAATATTTCTATTTTTTTATATTACTATCCAGTTAACTGATGTCCATACTCAATACCGTTTGATGTATACCAAATCAATCTGTTTCGCTTATGGACTATATTGAATGCAAAAGATTCATCTAAAAACGAAACTTCGTGCTCGAATTTCGTGTGGAGACATTGCTACATAAATATTATTTATTGCCTGTTTGTAAATCGCGTTGTTAGCGGAAAATAATGCGTTAACGGCTCTGATTATTCAATAATGAAAGATATTTTATTAATTTGGCGCGCGCAAAGCCCCCTCGATTAATCAATATACAATTTTCAGGCTAAATCAATTACTTTGGTTTTAAATATAATCTAGTTTGAGAGAGGAAAGCCGGATATATTTCATGGGACAAAAACGGCCTTCGATTTAATGCTTTAATCGCTTCGTCATTTTATCCCACTTTCAATTAATTTCGTGCGCTGCATATTTTGTTTTGATATCAAATGAACTTGATGGTTCTACCTACTTTAAATTTGATGTTAATTGTGAACATGGTGTATCTGTTTTACAGTTAATTTGTAGATGATGTTTGCTTTAATGTTATGCTTCTGATTTTAATTAGGAGGTGAAAGTATTGTCAACGGTTTCTAACACCATATGAAAATTATTGTGTTATAAAAAGTTCTTCAATATTTTAATTATTTCTAGATAGAAGAAACAAGAGAATCTTTTAAATGGAATGCATTTAAACAATTGGTTGTTGTCTATAATAGAATACTTCAAGAGATAATGATTTATATTTAAAAGAGGTTGTTTAATTAGTGGAATGTTTTTCTGAAATTAATACTTTAAAAGTAACTAATATAAAATAATAGTTTTCTATTATTTTTTGATTTGTAGAGATTATATAAGAATATTGACTTGCTAAATGAATTTACTTATATGAGCAAACTGCTCAATGAATATAATTTTTACACATCCACGTACTTTTAGTACGCATGTTGCTTAACTATTGTTAGCTGGCAAAATAGCGACTGTTATGTCAATCAAATTTAGTAATTCCATTGAATATTGAAAGTTAAAAGTAAAAAATAGTAAGCGTTAAGTTAAAATTGGTGTGCATACATGTTATAATGGTTTGACCAGAAAAATCATGCAAATTTTCTCAAATTGCCGTTGGTAATGCCTAAATATATCAGAATTGTTAAAAACAATTGACTTGTGTACATATTCTGAAAGGAAACATTCAAAACATTTGGATCGGATGAGATGAGTTTCATACTTTTCTATTACCAAAAGTGTCACTAAATCAATAACTAAGTTATATGCTGTTTATGGAAAAGTTGTTATAGCTGAAAGAGTTGTACTAAACTAATTAGCTAAGTTTATAGTTAGTGATTTCTGTCTTAAAGGTAGTAATAATGATGAAATCAAGCCATTGATAGAGAATAACAAGACACGTGAATTACTAAGGATATTGAAGATATTTTTAATATCATCCACGAGCATTTTTTGAAGCTTACATAAACTGTTACGATGTATGAGTTTCGGACAATTTAACGGACAAAAATCTGCAATACCAGCCCTTATGTTTTTATTTACTACCCCACAACATTTGTTGGGTTAAACTTTTATACTCTACCCGCAGCATTAACCAGACAGCGCATATTTCGAATTTATTCCGGCTTTTGCAAAATGCCATTAACTGTAAGAATGTTTAAATTTTAGTCAATATACAAAAGTTTTTTGACGAAAAAATATTGCGTGAAAGAGAAACCAAGTAGTATAGATCAGAATGGTGTATACATAACTAAAAATGTATATAAAGTGGAACCTGGCTTAACGAGTTTAATCCGTTTCAAAATTTCCAGATTTTTACTCGTATAGTGAAATATATTCAAAAATACACATAAAATTTCTCTTCTCATCGTTACTCGTTATGCGAATCATTTTTTTCACAATTAATTTTGCTCGTTTAGCGAAATGCTCATGCAAGGTGCTCGTTAAGCGAGGTTTCACTGTATAAATATATTTTTATTTTTAATTAATGTGAAATATTGGCACGAACTTTCGAGACGAGCCAATACAATATATAAGTAATTATTTATTTGAATGTAACTAAAACTAAGTAAAATATATTGTAGAAGGTCTGATTAAATAGAAAAAATTGAGTTTATACACGATAAACTTATATGTCTTCGAGCACGGATATGAAAACTTTGAATTATATGAAAAGGTATGTGGGTTTAATCCGATTTAGTATTATTATTTTCTAAAGGTTAAGTGGATCGTAATGCGATCTTTGCGTTTCTTACATTCTTTTCGTTTATATGTAAAGTTGCTTTGTAAATTCAAAAGACAAAATATTTATTATTTTATTTTAAACATTTTCAGTTGCCATCCATCGTCGTAATAAAAGGGGCGTAGGAGTGCAAGTAATAGTATTGTTTTATTAAGGCGGGGGCGCAAATTTTCATCTACTATACAAATTAGAGTATTATTATTATTGCCATAGACTTCGATAAAAGGTGATTTAAAAAAATATTAAAATACAGTTTTTTTGTGGTAATTTCAAATGTTTGATTTATTTATTGGTTTTTCTCATTGAGTATAAATCATATGATTATTTCTTTCAATTAGAAAACTGAATATTATGAAACATCGTTTGGTAATCAAAAGTTTATGTCTTATTTAATTATCTGAATTCAAGTATTCAAATAAATCTTATTAAATACTATAAGATTTATACTTATTATTCAATTGAAAAGAAATGTATTTTAAATACGTATTCTTTCTGTAATCATGAAGTTTATGCAATAGTTTCGAAGAGTGCAAAGAACGAGGATATCGTTGGACCCAATAAACACTTTCAAAGTGTATTATTTCGCTCGACCGTAAATTCCTGCGACGAATTCCGGCCGCACATGGGACGAATGTTGTTGGACAAACGTTTTTCTCGAGTTCCGCAAACTCTTGGCACCGCATTTCAATTCGACCGTACATTCAGCTATTCCAAGAATCGCTGTGTCCGCATTTATTTCATTTCCTATTAAATGTAATATTCATTAACTGAAAATCATCACATATAATAAACTACAATTAAACTAATCTAATATGTGATACAATGGAAACAGACAACGTACATTATTGCTAATAAATTAAAATGTAATGATTAAAATAATTAAAGTCTTAGTTAATTCTCTTTATTTTTTCAATTTATTTTTTTTATTATCCAATAATAAGAGAAATCAAAGACAATATGCTTAAAGAGCATAATCCGTTCCAAAAATTCCGGATTTTTAATCGTATAGTGAAACAGTTTTCCCCATATAAAATAAGATAATGCAAAAAAAGTATAAGTTGGTCTCGATTTTTCATGATTTTGCTATGGTTTTGAAAATGATGCAACAGGCGCATAATCCACTCGTTAAGCGCGATTCCACTGTATAAGCAACCGCGATTGTCAAAGCTAAGTTTAAAATAAATCGATCGATAATTGCATTTAGTGAAATAACAAAGGTTTTAGATATTCATTTTTTGTATTCAATTCAAGTCAAGTAATGTATTATCCAACATATATTTTATCCAATATATGATAATAGGAGAATGAGACTTCGTTTGTTGTGATATTTCGACTAATTTAAAACGACATTCTTTAAGAATTAAATAAATAAGACTATAAATGAGGATAAATCTTAAGCCTCTATTGTATACTGTTTCCAAATGGTAACTTTACGTAATATCATTACATGCAGTTTCAAATATACCTTAAAAAATTCATATAAGACTCTTTCAAATTTTTACTTCCTACAATGTTTATGAAATGGTTAACTTTAACCAATTATTTTCATTGCACATAACAGAATATCAAAAATATTTCTACAAAAATATTAATTTATATAACTTCATCATCTGAACTAATTAGCAAATCTTCTCCACTATAACATGAAAGGGAGAAATATAACGTAGAAGAAATATATATGTACTATATTATATAAGTTTACACTTTCACGAATAAAGAAAATACCACATAAAAGTAAAACTAGTGAAAAATATTCAATTTTTCAAAACCGAGTTAACTCTTAATATTAACCTTTTAATACACTCTTAATACTTTGATATTCTCCAATATCTCAGGATTTCCAATTACATCATTGACGACTTCAGACTTCAGTATTCTATCGAATAAATAAAGATATTACAGCAGCTTTTTTATATTGCCATGGAAAAAATGTAGTGTCTTTGGTTTTCTGCTTTCAATTTTGACTTCACAACTATTACTCTGCATAACTCTGCCCTATTCTTTTGATAGGCTGAATCTTTTTAGGAACTTGTTACTTCTTTTTAGACTCAGCATTTGCTTGATTTTTGACACATTAGTGCAGCTATTTTCAAATTGGGAAAAATATAGTTTGGGATTGGTATCCTATTAAAATGTAGATGTTAATACAACGTCTAATGTAATTTGAGATGCCTACATTCTTTGCCGTATCGTGCAACGTTAATCGCAGATAATTCATTCTACAGTCATTAAAAGAATTATACATTGATTTCTTCGTTGCTTCAAGAAAGTTCAAAAGTTGAATTAGTTAAAAAAAAATTAAAATTCTATGCTTTACCAAAGTTGTCTATTAGTAAGTTTTCAATCAAAAATTACAGTTTCCCTTTCATGTTTTGATAAATAAAAAAATTTTTTTAAAATTTATATTAGTGTTAGAATTGTGGCCATTTACAATTTTGGCTCATTTAAGCAGTGAATTAGTACGTACAGTATATTCGGTAATGGTACGAAGACACTTCCGGCGTTTCCGGAAAGAGCTTAATAAAACTTTCCTTTCTCGGCGGGAAATTAATGTTTCCGCTTGCGAAACAATTCAATTTTCCGTATCAATAGAATTTTTTCGGATGAAAGACATAAATAATTCATGTTACCTTTTTTTTAACATATAAATAACAAAGTTGAAGCAAGTTC